AAGTGACGTCTTGCCATAAAACAAGGCTAATCCTCTGCTTGCCAAATAGAGTAGTGATCTGATCACCTAATCTACTCGGGGAATGGTATCACAAGCCTTGTAGTAATCTTGGTAGTAAGGCTCCTTCTACCTCTAGTTCATTCTGGTCTCTAAGACATAGCCTACCATGGATCCCATCTGAAAGTTCGGACTGTTTGCCAGGGCTCCTTCACCTTGGTGGGTCCCAAATATTATTATTTACCTCGTAAATATAGTGAGACTGCCAAAAATTCCTTCCTTTTTAAAGACTTTCTGTTCAGTTTCTTACACTCTCAAATAGCATTAATTGAAGTACTGTAGCTTCAACCAAAGAAAAATTAAGTGAAGGATTTTGAGATTGATAAAGTAGTTTAACTGTCATATAATGAACATCTGAGAAGAATTACTTAAAATTTTCTTACAGATTAGCAACGAAAATACAGCTATCAGTCTTTCATCCAATTTATGACTATTACTAGAAGCCAAAACTATATATAAAAGAAATTTGACAATTTAGAGGGTAAAAGTGGATAGAAAATCAAATTTTCTTTGTTGAGATGGATTCTCTCTCTGTCACCCAGGCTGGAGTGCAGTGGTGTAATCTTGGCTCACTGCAACCTTCACCTCCCGGGTTTAGGCGATTCTCCTGCCTCAGCCTCCTGAGTAGAGCTCCCACCACGCCTGGTAATTTTTTTTTATTTTTAGCAGAGACGGGGTTTTGCCATGTTGTCCAGGCTGGTCTCGAACTCCTGACCTCAGGTGATCCACCCGCCTCAACCCCACAAAGTGCTGGGATTACAGGCTTGAGCCACGGCGCCCAGCCAAAAATCAAATATTCTCTTTTTTTTTGAGATGGAGTTTTGTTCTAGTTGCCCAGGCTAGAGTGCAATGTCACAATCTCAGCTCACCACAACCTCTGCCTCCCAGGTTTAAGCGATTCTCCTGCCTCAGCCTCCCAAGTAGCTGGGATTAAAGGCCTGTGCCACCACGCCCGATGAATTCTGTATTTTTTAGTAGAGATGAGGTTTCCCCATGTTGGTCAGGCTGGTTTCGACCTCTTGACCTCAGGTGATCCTCCCACCTCCACCTCCCAAAGTGCTGGGATTATAGGCTGAGCCACCGCGCCTGGCCCAAATCAAATATTCTTAATAAAATTTAGATTTAAATATTTGTGTTTCTTAGTTAGAAATAATGGCAAATGTTAGAGTCCCATGGAGAAATGTGATACTTAAAAAGTTGTTGAATTTCTGTTTTTTTTAAATCTGCATGGAAAACTGTTGAGCATGAACTGAAAAATGAACATGATTTTTGCCTCTCCCCATGCAGTCAACAGCTACAGGAACTGACATTTTCCTGTAAACAAGGCAAATCAGGCTAAAAAAAATTGTTTTCAGATATTGTTCAACCAGGAGTTCAGGATCATGATTGGTAAAACGAATGAAATGAACTCTACCATCCAGCTTACTGCCTGGAGGCATTTTCCAGGTCAAGAGCAGGGATGGAGGAGGGATTCCAAATAGAGCCTTGTGGTCTTGCTGAGTTTAGGTCAGAGATTGGAGAGTCTGGGTTGGCTAGAAGTTATGAGGTGGAACAGTGAAGAGAAAAAAATTCAGATAGAGCTCTGAAGATCTGCAAAGGGTCCTTGAAATATTGGTTGAATACAGATGTGCATGCAAAGGATGAAACTACGAGAGACTTGGGAAAGAACTATTGGAAAGAAGGCCAAGTGATTGATTCCTAGAAGTCATACATCTTGTTTTCCCTCTGGCTAGGAGGATTGGGAACATTTTGCTTTCCCCTTGGCTAAAATGAAGAAAATTTGTAATCACAAGTAACAGGTAGGGTCCACAGATAGGGATTGGTTTAGTGGGGCTCAATTAGTCCCAGAGACTGCAAAGAATCTATACACAGAAAAGCCAAAAGCAAGCTTCAAAGGAAATCAGGCTAATCCTAAGTAATTTAATTGCATGCCAGAACAAAGTCTAACACTCTTTTGAAGGAATGGAACAACATCCATTACCCAACAGCATAAATTTTACAATATCTGACATCTAATGAGAAATTCCCAGGCACGCAACATAGCAAAAAAAAAAAAAAAAAAAAATGACTTATTAACAAGGAGAAGAATGAAGTGATCTACCTAGAAATAATTTGGACTTAGCAGACGACATAGAAGAGCTATTGCCAATATATCAGTGAAATAGGTATAGAAAATGTTCAGCCTAAAGCATGGAAAGGAAAAAGACCAAAAAAACAATGAACAGAGCATCAGAGACCTATGGAACAGTATCAAGGAGTCTAATACACATATTATTGGAGTATCACTAAGGCAGGGGCTGAGCAAATGTTTGAAGATACAATGTCTGAAAATTTTCCGTAGTTGATGCAAACTCTCAATCCATAAATGAAAAAAAAGTTAAATTCAAGCAGAAGAAACATAAAAGCATACAAAACCACATCATCAGATTGCTGAAAGTCAATGAGGAAGGGAAAATTTTAAAAAGTAGCCACACAAAAGACACATCACATACAAAGGAACAGAAAGTCTGACCAACATGGAGAAACCATGTCTCTACTAAAAATACAAAATTAGCCTGGCATTGTGGCGCATGCCTGTAATCCCAGCTACTCGGGAGGCTGAGGCAGGAGAATCAGTTTGAATCCAGGAGGCAGAGGTTGCGGTGAGCCAAGATCGTGCCACTGCACTCCAGCCTGGGCAACAAGAGCGAAACACCATCTCAAAAAAAAAAAAAAAAAGGAACAAAAAGTAGAATGGCACCAGACTTCATGCTGTAAGCTGTGCAAACTAGAAGACATCTCTAAAATTGAGATCATAGATACTTCTAAAGTATTGAAAGGTTAAAAAAAAAAAAAAAAGTCCATTCAGAATTCTATATGCAGTGAAAATATGTTTCCAAAGTGTAGGGGGAAGACAGACTTTTTAAGCCAAAAAAGGTGAGAAGAATACATCAACAGACCTACACTACAAGAAATTTTGGAGGAGATTTTTCAGGCAAAAGGAAAATAGTATTAAGTAGAAATTTGGATCTGTATAAAGTAATATAGACTGACAGACATTGTAAATATGTAGACAAATAGAAAATATTTTTGTTTCTAAATAGTGTATACACACACACTGTATATGGAAACACTACATCCTATATATGTACAATATATAGTTTAGAAATTATATATACGCACACACACAAGAAACAATTGGAATTTGAAATTTAAAATGGATACCATTTACAGTAACTTCAGAGAACATAATATATTTAGGAACAAACCAAAACTACCTAACCTAAAACTACAAAGTATTACGAAATTAAAGGAGATCTGAATAAGTGGTGAGATATATATGCAACTTTCATGAATTCATTAAGATGTTACTTCACCCCAAATTGTATATCTATCAATGCCTCAGCCATTTTTGTAGAAAGTAACAAACTAGTTAAAAACTTAAGGCCAGGTGTGATGGCTTACACCTATAATCCCAGAACTTTGGGAGGCCAAGGCAGGAGGATCACTTGATGTCAAGAGTTCGAGACCAGCCTGGCCAACGTAAAAAACATTTAAAATTTTTTTTTTTTGTTTAAAGTTAGCCAGGCCTGGTGACACATTCTGTCTTCCCAGCTACTTAGGAGGCTGAGGTGAGAGGATCCTTTGAGTCCAGGAGGTCTAGACTTCAGCAAGATACATTTGCACCACTGCACTCCAGCCTGGGAGACAGAGCAAGAGTTCATCTCTTAAAATAAAACATTTTATATACATTGAAAATGCAGAGACCTAGAAGATGAAAACAATGTTGGGAAAGAACAAACTTACTACACTATCTTTGTTCAAGACTTAACTATAAAGCTGTATGTAGTATTAAGACAGTGTTGTTGGCATAGAGATAGGCATGTTGACCAATGGACACACTAGAGAATACACATGCAGTTCATTGGTTCACGACAAAGGTACCAACGTAGTTTAACAGGAAAAGATGTCTTTTTCAACAAATGTTGCTGGAATAGAGGGAAAAGTGAACCTCAGCTCTTCATACCATAAACAAAAATTAACTCAAAATGGATCATACACCTAAGTACAAACAGTAAAAATATAAGATGTCTGCAAGAAAATGGTATAATTGGACTGGGCACGGTGGCTCATGCCTGTAATCCCACCACTTTGGGAGGCCAAGGTGGGCGGCTCACCTGAGGTCAGGACTTCAAGAGCAGCCTGACCAACATGGTGAAACCCTGTCTCTATTAAAAATATAAAAGCCGGGCGTGGTGGCATATGCCTATAATCCCAGCTACTCAAGAGGCTGAGGCAGGAGAGTCACTTGAACCCAGGAGGCAGAGGTTTCAGTGAGTCCAAGATTGCGCCATTGCGCGTGGGGGACAAGAGCAAAACTCCATCTCAAAAAAACAAAGAAGTCACTCACAAAAGAACAGGGTCAAAATGGCTTGAAATATTCTATAACCATAGGCAGCATCATTTATCATCATTGCCTCAGTTAAATTTGTGGTCAATATTGCTACTGGAGAGATACAGGAGCAGTTCTTTTTAAAATAATTTTCTTTGTTATAGTTTTCTACCTTTAGGAGTCCAGGTGTCTTTATGGGTCTTAATAGATTTCCATCATTAAATGATGTTTCATTTTTATAGAAGCAAGTATATATGCTCAAATTAATTTATATGTTTTATACATTTATGTGCATTGTATATTTATGTGTATTTTGAGTCATTGTGAAGGACCCATAAAATGTAGTAGGGATCTAATTACTGGATTTTTATGAACCTTTGGTCATATAACTGAATCAGTAATAAATGGAGTTTTTTTGGGTATTTGGTTTTAGCATTTCTATTTGCCCCCACGATTGTTCAATTAAAACATTATGAAATGTTAAGTTAGAGGACTCCTAACCACTAATTGCATGTTTAAGCCTGATAATGCATGTTTAGTTTTTGTTTTTAATTTCTTTTTATCATTTTAGTAACAATGATGATGTTATGTTGATTTCTGTGGAAAGGCCTAATTTGACAACTCCAATTACATCAAATCCAACAGGTATCTTATAGCTGATTAGAATATGATCTTAGAATATGATCTATCAAGTTAGAAGGCCTTAAATCAATGTTTGCTTAAAAGTGAAAAATTGAATAATATCTTTTAATAAAATGAAAAATTTAAATGTACTCTCAAATGTTCTAACTTATATCATGGTTAATATTACCTAAATGAATGATTCCTTAATGTAATTGAGATTTCATTTTAACCTTCTGTTTTATCAGTTTATGGCCTTTTTGTTTCTTTTACATGTTTAATGACTTTATAAGTTGTAAAACTACTTATTTTTAATCGTTTGCCCTGACCTTTTGTTGATAGTAGTGATGATTTGTTTTTTGTCTTTTTATTTTTTATTTATTAAGTTATCTTATAGTCAACTTAAGATTTAAAGTTTTTTGTCAGTCTGGGTGTGGTGGCTCATGCCTGTAATCCCAGCACTTTGGGAGGACAAGGCAGGCAGATCACCTGAGGTCAGGAGTTCAAGACCAGCCTGGCCAACAAAGTGAAACCCCATCTGTATTAAAAATATAAAAATTAGCCAGGCGTGGTGGCATGTACCTGTAATCCCAGCTACTCGGGAGACTGAGGCAGGAGAATTGCTTGAACCTGGGAGGCGGAGACTGCAGTGAGCTGAGATCATGCTACTGCTCTCCAGCCTGGGCGACAGAGCAAGACTCTGTCTCAAAAAAAAAAAAATTAACCTTACATTTCCAATGATAACATTTCTGTCTCTCAAAAATAGCCATCTTGTTTGGCTCATAATTTCTTATCCAAAATTCCCCATTTTCATTTCATTTTCTACTATGTTAGAGTATTTGCATCATAATTTTAAAGCTTATAGCTACTTACTTGTCCCCACAGTTTGTACTGTTAAGATTGTGAATCAGAGAATTAGAAAGGATGTTAATCATTTATCTTAGGCTTCCTACTGGTTCCAGGAAGGGCGCTTCTCAGCCATGTCAGGCAGTTGTAGTCTAAAGATACTGTGAATTAAAAGTGCGTGCATTTCCAAGTGTATTTTCTCATGCAAATTTCTAGGTAGAAGGATTTTCAAAAAAAGAGTTACTAATATAGTTGCAAAGTTACAGAAAGAAAAAATGGTTTGACCCAAAATTACATATTTTTAAAAAAATTCATTCAGTCTTTGGAATAGGTAAAGTTAATTGAGTAACTTTTTATCACTATATAATTAACAGCTAATTAGCATCCCCATTATTTTGTTTTAGCATTCATATTTCACAAAGCCCATAAATATTGTGTAATCAATTTGTCAAATGTCTCATTTCTTTCAGATACCAGAAAAACTACGTCAGGAAATTCTAGCAGTTCTCCTAATGCTGACGTTACGGTAAGTAAGAAATACTAACTCTGAATATTGTTCATTTAAACATGTTAGTTCTACGAACTTTAGTGTTTGCTACATGTTGGATGATTTAGTCCAGCTTACACATTGAAAAGCAGACAGCTAATGATAAGCATAATTCATAACGATACTCATTTACCAAATTCATTTACATTCTCCTTAGTCTTATTCTCAGAAACCATATAGTATTTTATAAGAACTTTTTAATAGTAGAGTTAAACCACAGGAGACTTAGAGATGTTCCATCTCTAGTTTCTGAATGGTAATTTGAAATTACCATTTAAAATTGCCATTTAAAATTACCAAATGTTTAAGTTTTTAAAAACATTTTCAGCTATTGAGGCAAAGCTTTATTATTTACAATTTTTTTAGGCGGTACAGAAGAAACTTGATTTTATAATTGATTTGACAAAAGAAGGCCTGTCCAACTGCAATACAGGTAAAATGATTTTTTAGATCTTTCTTTTGTAAAAAGGAGGGAAGGGTAACAACTCACAATGCACTGGGCTTACTTATGAAGTTTGTTTTAATATGTTAGTGTGCAGATGTTTATATCTCTATGCAGTTTTAGCACATGTGCAGATTCATGTAACTGCCATCACAGTCAAAGTACAGAACCTATAGCCACAAGGCTCCTTCATGCTACCCCTTTATACTCACACCTTGTTTCTGCCCCAATCCCTGGCAAACACCAATCTGTTCTGTACTATAACTGTTATTTCACAAATTTATATAAATTTGGTAATGCAATATGTGTTCTTCTGAGATTGACTTCTTCCACTCAGCATAATTCTGAGGGTCATCCACATTGTTGTGTATCAGTAGTGTGGTCCTCTTTACTGCCAAGAGTAGCCCATGGTGTGGATGCATCATAATTTGTTTATTCATAAACCCACTGAAAGACATCTGGCGTGTTGGGGACTTTTACAAATTTCTTTTCTTCCTGTGGTACATACTTTTTTCCCTAACCACAACAATAGCTACTGAGAGGACGCACGGAGAGACAGAAACTGGGGTATAACATGAAAATGTAGAGGGAGAGTAACAACAGTGTCTTTCACAGATTTAAGGAAAAAGAAGCGAAATACAATCATGGGGCTGGGGATCAGTTATAAGGTCTCATTCAAATTTAATGAGAAGTATAAACTCACATATCCAAGATGTTTAATAAACTCCAGGATAAACGCAAAAGAAGTCATACCAAGACATATCATAGTCAAGTTCCTGAAATCCAGTGATAAGGAGAAAAGTGAAGATACAATGTGGGTGAAAGAACAGAGAATTCACAGGTTTCTAGGCTAGAGCAACGCAAGCCAAAAGACAATTGAATGACTTTATTAAAAGGCTGGAGGAAAATAACTATCAACCTGTAATTCTTTATCTAGAAAATATCTTTCAAAAAGGAAAGCAACTTTGGGAGGTCAGGTCAGGAGGATGGCTTGAGGCCAGGAGTTTGAGACCAGCCTAGGCAACATAACGAAACCCCATCTCTACAAAAATAAGAATAAAGCAAAAATAAAATTTTTCAGATCAACAAAATGCGTTGCCAGCAGACCTTTGCTCTCAGAAATAAAGGAAGTTCTTCAAGTGATAGTAAAAGATACCAGATAGAAAGCAGATCTACATAAAGGAATAAAAGTGTATTATAGAATGTATATAGAAGTCAGTAGATGAAAACAGTAGTGCAAAAGATAGTCACAGGATTGAAAGTATGCTGTTATAAGGCTCTTGAGTGGTGTCATGTTGTTTGAAGCTAGAGATATATATGGTAATGCCTAGAGCAACAGTTTTTTCTTTTACATAGAAGTAAAGCTAAAAAACCAGTAGTGGAGATAAACGGAATTTTTAAAATACCCAATCTAAGAAGCCAGAAAAAAATAAAAAGTAAGAGAAAAAAAACAGCAGAGAAAGAACAAACAAGACTAATAGAGAACAAAAGGCAAAATGATCAATTTAAACCTGACCACACTGATAATAAATATAAATGGTCCAAACACTCCATTGAAAAGCATTGTTAGACTGGAGAACAATACAAGTCTCAACTGTGATTACAAGAGATGTACTTTAAAAAGGAAATAAACATTAATTGGGTTGGAATGAAAGTCTTGTCTTGTCTCTTATTATCATAAAGTTGAGCTTCTATTGCAGTCTGTTTTAATTTGCCAAGGGCCTATTGACTTACTGCCTTGAAAGAAGGAATATTATTTACAAGAAATTATATTTGCTAGGATATTTTAAATATTCAGCTGTTGGCTAAAAATTTAAAGGTTATTTGTATTAGTTCTTAACCTACAGATAATTTTACAAATCTGTCTCTTAAAGCTAGTACAAAAGAGCTGAACAGACTCTCTAAAATAATAAACTCATTAATTCTTCTAGGAAGGTTTTTGTGAAAATACCAGTAAATAAGGGACTAACTGAAACAACAGTACAGAATCTTGTTCATCTTTGTCAAAAGAAAAATACAAGTAAAAGAAATTTCATATGGAGGATTCATAAAGTGTATTAGTTATATCATAGGATATAAAGGATCTAAAATGGTTTTTACTGCTTAATTCTGGGATTTTTAGCTACCCAGCTTTCATACTTTCCAATATAAACCCCCTTTTATTAACCATCCCTGTATTTACTCTCCCCAGTTGTGTGTGTGTGTGTGTGTGTTTTAACTTTATGTTCTGGTGTACATGTGCAGGACGTGCAGGTTTGTTACATAGGTAAATGTGTGCCATGGTAGTTTGCTGCACCTATCAATCCATCACCTATGTGTTAAGCCTGGCATGCATTAACTATTTTTCCTGATGTTCTGTCCACCCCCCGCCCTCCCCCAACAGGCCTAGTGTGTGTTGTTCCCCTCCCTATGTCGATGTGTTCTCATTGTTTAGCTTCCACTTATAAGTGAGAACATGTGGTGTTTAGTTTTCTGTTCCTGCATTACTTTGCTGAGGATAATGGCTTCTAGCTCCATCCATGTCCCTGCAAAGAACAGGATCTCATTTCTTTTTATGGCTGCATAGTATTCCATGTGTATATGCACCACATTTTCTTTAGGCTATCATGGATGGGCTTTTGGGTTGATTCCATGTCTTTGCTATTGTGAATAGTGCTGCAATTAACATATACATGCATGTATCTTTATAGTAGGATGATTAATATTCCTTTGGGTATATACCCAGTAATGAGACTGCTAGGCCAAATGACAATTTTATGATGAAATCATCAAAAGCAATTGCAACAAAAGCAAAAATTGACAAATGGGATCTAATGAAAGAGCCTCTGTACCGCAGAAGAAACTGTCATCAGCAGACAGACAACCTATAGAATGGGAGAAAATTTTTGCAGACTATCTGACAAAGGTCTAATATCCAGAATCTACAAGGAACTTAAGCAAATTTACAAGAAAAGCAACCCCATTAAAAAGTGGGCAAAGGGCCGGGCGCGGTGGCTCAAGCCTGTAAATCCCAGCACTTTGGGAGGCCAAGACGGGTGGATCACGAGGTCAGGAGATCGAGACCATCCTGGCTAACATGGTGAAACCCTGTCTCTACTAAAAAAATACAAAAAAACTAGCCGGCCGAGGTGGCGGGCGCCTGTAGTCCCAGCTACTCGGGAGGCTGAGGCAGGAGAATGTCATAAACCCGGGAGGCGGAGCTTGCAGCGAGCTGAGATCCGGCCACTGCACTCCAGCCTGGGCGACAGAGCGAGACTCCGTCTCAGAAAAAAAGTGGGCAAAGGACATGAACAGACATTTCTCTAAAGAAGATGTACATTTGGCCAACAAACATGAAAAAAAGCTCAACATCACTGATCGTCAGAGAAATGCAAATCAAAACCACAGTGAGATACCATCTCATGCCTGTCAGAATGGCGATTATTAAAGTCAAAAAACAACAGATGCTGGCGAGGATATGGAGAAATAGGAATGCATTTACACTGTTGGTGGGACTGTAAATTAGTTCCACCATTGTGAAAGACAGTCTCAGTGATTTAGAACTGAAAATACTTTGTTTGTTTGTTTTTTTGAGACAGTCTCGCTCTGTCCTCTGTCACCCAGGCTAGAATGCAGTGGCTTGATCTCAGCTCACTTCAACCTCCACCTCCCAGGTTTAAGCAATTCTCCTGTGTCAGCCTCCCGAGTAGCTGGGACTACAGGCATGCACCACCACGCCCGGCTAATTTTGTATTTTCAGTAGAGGTGGGATTTTACCATGTTGCCCAGGCTGATTTGGAACTTCTGACCTCAAGTCATCTGTGTCCTAAAGTGCTGGGATGACAGGCATGAGCCTCTACGCCCAGCCTCCCCAGTTGTGAGTTTCAAGTGAGGGACAGTATGAGGGTTGTAGTATTTGAGTTTAGGTTGAGAATTAAGAATATGGTGGTTGTTAGGATAATATATGTAATTAAGTAGAGGATTGTGACGGTTGGATTGTATATTAACGTTATTGTTATTCAGCCTATGTGGGTGATTGAGGAGTACCCTATAATTTTGCATAATTGTGTTTGATTAAGGCCTCCTCAACTGCCCGCCATAATAGATAGGGTTGAGAGGGTTAGGAGGATATGGGTGTTGATTGATGGGTGAATTTGGTATATAATTGAGATGGGGGCTAGCCAGCTTCTTTTAACCCTCCTTCCCCTCTTCTTTTCCCCACTCCACATTTTATACCTAATTCCTTCCAGATGAGCACAGACCTCATTAGTTGAGATTTCTTTAATCCCAACCCACATGATTTTTAGTTTGAATTCCTAAAACTTGGGTATAGATTATAAATGGCTCTGTGTTTGAACATCTTTGTTGGCCTAACAAGAAAATTTGCCTCTAAGATCATTGATCAGAGGTCTCTGTCCCATGTGTAAACATATCTGGCTCCCAGTTACACAATGTCTAAAGTGTTTAAGCGGAATTTTTATCAGCCTAAAATTTTCTGTTTGGTACCTCTGTATCTTGAACTTTAACTAAAAGTGTATCTTCATAATTCAGTTTTATAATTTTAATTCACATTTAATTATCACCAAAGATGTAAACTATATCTTAAAGGCTATGGAATTGATTATTGCAGATAAAATTTACTTCTTAAACTTTGTGTTGTTCACAGAAAGTCCAGTATCACCCCTGGAGTCACATTCGAAAGCTGTTTCAAACTCAAAAGAAACAACCCCATTGGCACAAAATGCAGCCCAGGTACTGATTCAGAGTGCTCTGTAAGGGATATTTATTCCAGATTGAGTGGGAAGTACCTATTTTACTCTTGAGGAAACATTTGGGTCACATTTCAGCTTAGAAAACAATTTAATATGCTGTTGTTAATGTACTTATTTATACAATTAAAATCATTCAGTTGAGTTTTACAGAAGCTACAGAAATTAAAACAAATACTTTTTTTAAATTGAACAAATTGGAAAAGAAGCAATAGCCATTGATGAGGATGGGAGGAAAAGGGTGTTCTCATACACTGACACTTTTTTTCTTTTTTTTGACACCACATCTTGCCCAGACTATACCGAATCTTGCCCTGTCGCCCAGGCTATAGTGCGGTGGTGTGATCATGGCTCACTGCAACCTCTACCTCCTGGGTTCAAGTGAGTCCCCTGCCTCAGCCTCCCAAGTAGCTGGAATTACAGGCGTGCACCACCACGCCCAGCTAATTTTTGTATTTTTAGTAGAGACAGGGTTTCGCAATGTTGGCCAGGCTGGTCTCAAACTCCTGACCTCAGGTGAGGCAACGCACCCAGCCACGCTGACACTTTTCATGTAAATTAGTACAGTGTTTGAGAATGCAATTTGGAAATGAGATGGAATATTTATCCCACATGTCTGGAACCTAACCCATTCTGGATTATTGACATTCCAGGGTGTAGAAATCTTAAATCCAAAAGAGGATTATGCTTAAAGGACTGGATCCAGCCTCACATATTATTGAAATATCCTTTTATTATTTTGATAAATGGATTTAAGAATGGGAAGTATGTATTTCTACAACTGCAATTGACCACTTTAAAAGCTATACTTTCTTACAATTGTGTTTTTAGGTTCCTGAGTCCTTTGAGCAGCTGCCACCTCTCCCAGAACCACCAGCACCACTACCTGAATTAGTAGACAAAACCCGAGACACACTTCCTCCCCAGAAGCCTGAGCTCAAAGTGAAACGGGTTTTCAGACCAAATGGCATTGCCCTGACTTGGAATATAACCAAAATCAATCCCAAGTGCGCTCCTGTAGAAAGCTACCACCTCTTCCTGTGTCATGAGAACTCTAATAATAAATTAATTTGGAAGAAGATTGGAGAAATTAAAGCTTTACCACTCCCCATGGCCTGTACTTTATCTCAGTTTTTAGCTTCCAACAGATACTATTTTACTGTCCAGTCAAAAGATATTTTTGGACGATATGGACCATTCTGTGATATAAAATCTGTCCCTGGGTTTTCTGAAAATCTTACCTAAAAGCGAGGTCTTTAATAATTATATATTATACTACTTTTTTTTTCATATTTGTTTACAATGTTACTGTAATACTATTTGCCGTTGTAAAAGGCCAGCTTAGATTGTGAGCCCTTTCTATTGGGACAGTCCTCTTGTATATGTTGTTAAGTGGCCAGTAATTTGATGAATTTCTGGTTTGTATTAAATATGTCCTTCCAATGAATAAGTTCTAAAACATATGCTGTCTTGGTCGCGTGTTGCTGAGGTGTGTTGTGAACAATACCTTTGGTGACTGGAACTGCTGCTTCTATCGGAAGACCTAGGATACAAGCAGCCACTGTTTCCTCCATTAATAATCAGCTTTTAGTGACCTGCTGTGGTCAGCATAGCTACAGGAAAAGTCAGCCCTTGACTGAGGGCCAGATCATCCCTGGAGTGCACCTCTACCAAGATTTTATGAAAAGATGACATGTTGGACTGCATAATACAAATTAATATAAAAATTAAAATTTTTTTTTATTCTCCCAGGTTGAAGCAATCCTCCGGTGTCAGCCTCCCGAGTAGCTGGGACTACAGTAGCTTGCCACCACGCCCAGCTAATTTATTTTTAGTAGAGATGAGGTTTCACCTTGTTGGTCAGGCTGGTCTCAAACTCCTGACCTCAGGGGATCCACCCGCCTTGGCCTCCCAAAGTGCTGGGATTACAGGCATGAGCCACCACACCTGGCCAAAAACTAAAAGATTTTATGAAAAGAAATGGCTTCCCATTCTATTCAGCTTCTAAGTGGGCTATTCATTTGTGCCCCTCCTCTTTTTTGTTTTGTTTTGCACTATGTCAATCATTTGGGGAAAAAGCCTGGAGGTCTTTCCTGAATCTGTTTGTAGACATAATAAAATGTGTGCTGTGTACACAAAAACATAATAGTATCTCTCATGAAAGCATTACCCAACCTACTGTTTGAGTTGAGAATGGATTTGTCCACCTTAGATGTGAGGCTTTAGTTTGCTGATTTCCTAAATGCTATCCTTTGATCATTTCCTGGCTGCCATCCCAATACTAAGGGGCTCAGATGTGTCTTGTGGCCACCTCTTCCTGAGAAGAGGTGGAGCTATGACAAGTACAAGCAGACCAAGAAACTCTGAACAGGACCCAATGGAGGCAAACTTGAGAAAATAACTGGGATGATAAAAAATAAAAATAATCCCAACTGTTCGAAAGTTCGAAAGAGGGGCATTCTTTCCTGGTACATGGTGAAAGTTCAGGCTCCAGAGGCTCAAAACAGGGAATGGTTTTCCTTGGCATTTTGTAAATGCTCTCACATCTGCAGTAATAAAGCTGTTATTTTCTGCAGTCTTCTATGTCTTTATTTTTAAGAAAATGACTGATTCATGAGAGGAACTGCCCTGTGGGTTCCCATTTCCTGCTCAGAGCCACACTGGGTGAAGATTTCACCCTGGGATTGTCATGGACTAGACATTCACTCACTGTGAAGCCCAAAGACGCAGCCCATAAACAAGATTTTGGTACCCATCACCAAGTGAACCTACATCTGCAACCACTGGGCCATGTGGAAAGATGATCGATGCTCAAGTCTCTAGCAAATGAGCCCCTATGATCAAAGGAGGAGGGAGAATGGCTGACAGCAAACATCTTAGAGGTGGTACCTCAGAAAGCATTACTGTTTTGCCTTTTGGAGAGGCAGGGGCAAGATCAACTGTTTGTTCATTTGTTTTTGAGATAGGATCTCTGTTACCCAGGCCAGAGTGCAGTGGCACCACCATCAGTGCCCCTGCAGCCTCAACTTCTTGAGCTCAAGTGATCCTCCCACCTTAGCCTTTCAAGTAGCTGGGACTACAGGTGTGCACCACCATGCATGGCTAATTTGTTTGAATTTTAGGATTGCTGAGGTCTCACTATATTGCCCAGCCTGGTCTTGAACTCAAGGGATCCTTCCGCCTCGGCCTCCTAAAGTGCTTGGATTATAGGCAGATCCTCAACTGTTAACACATCAGTGACACCAGGAAGGAGCTAGCCAGCCTAAGGACAAAAAAGTCCTGCCAGTAACACAGTCACACAGTACAGAGAACCCACATCCTGACCCCACCCTATGAAATGCTTCCTATACTTCCAGTGGGAAACCTTTATACCTTCATTGGGTAACAGAATCAAACTGAGTGATGACTGAAAATTGAATACATTGAGAAAAGGCTATGGAGTGGCCCAAGGAATTACCAGGAATCCTAGAGACTCAAGGAAAAAAATACTTTGCAACAACCCAACCAAGTTTCAAACCTCATACAGTTTATGCAATTCACATTCTACACAATGATATGTTGGACATTTTATGCCCATTTTAAAGATGGAGAGACAGGCCTAGAGAGCTTAGGAGACTGGTGCAAGGTCACAGAGGCCCAGGGAATAACTACAGCCGGGATTCAAAACCAGCTACATGGTTCTGATTCATGCTGTGTACACCATGCTGTGCTGTCTGTGGGAGCTACACTGAAGGAACGGTTAGAATTCACACTCTGCTGCCTTGTGGCTCCAGATTGACATCCCAGCATCTGATTGGCTTATCCTAGGGCATACGTTCAAGTTGCAAGGTGAATTGGAGAAGCAAACCTCTGGTATTTCTAATCTTCAGTGAGAGGTGTACACAAGGTAAGTGTGGTGGTTCTGCACTGTGTCCCGTAGCTAAGCTAGAACTACCTAACCAGAATTTCCTTCCCTGACTGGTTCAAAGTTAGCATTGATCACAAGACATTATGCTGAGATTTGAAGAGCAGAAGTGAAATGGCATCACATGTCTTAGGTTCCGAAGGGCAGTGCAGGACATCAGAATGAGGCAGCTGATGTGCGCTGTGGCTGATCTGCAAGTTGATGGACCTGCAGCTCCTGCAGCTGCCATCAAAGCCACCTCTAGCATATCCAAGTACAGAACACGTATGGGTGCGCTGTGTGTTTTTCCTACAGCCCATTATTCCCATGGCATCAAGGTGGGATTGGTGACACAGGTTCCAGTTTGTACTTGGTCCCAACCACATCCATCTTTCCTCCCCAACAGCCTGCCTGGCTGACTGATGGTGACTCCAGGCTTCACAATAGACACAAAAGGAACAGTTTGTGTGGACTTCTCTACCAGCTCTCATGCATAGGAACAAGTCTAACTCCATGAGAGATACGTCTTGTTGAATACCATGAGTTCTAAATTTCTCTTCAAACAGTATGTCAGTATATTCAGTTCTTTGTTCTCCATTTTAAAGCTTAACTTTCTCATTCTCCTCACCTCTAGTTTCAGTAAACAACCTTTTCCACCAGTTCTAATCAGTAGTTCAGCTCTGTTCTCCTGTTCTGTCCTGAGTCACCCTGGTCACCTGCTCTGACCTGAGTCATCCTGAGTCACCTGTTCTATAACCGCCCTTCCCGCCAAACTACTCACCCCACCACTCCAGCTCGTACCCCTGCTGTCTTTAAAATAGCCACTCGGAATTAGCTTAGACTGTGTCGTCCAACCCTAGCCAACAGGGGAATGACACAGCAGTAGGGGCTACCTGTGTCAGGATAAAAACCCCTTTCCCCTCCCTTGTTCAGGTGGGCTCTCACCATTGCTCCACCCACAAGTTGCACCCTTCACCACAACCTCATCAAATGTTGGATGGAAGGAAAACTCAAACTGGCTTGGGAAGGACTCTACCTAGTGCTTCTAACCACCAAGATCACAGTTCGAATAAGTGACTCATCACACCTGGGTCAAAAGAGCAACACCCCCTCCAAAATCATGGATAGCTATTCCAGGGCCAATTCCAACCAAGCTACAGCTAAAATGGGTTTGATCTTCTTATATTGCATCTCTTTCTTTTCCCCTTCTATTGCTAGTCCTCTCGTTATTAATGTAACTAGGTCAAGTTCACCCCAAACTATTACTTTTGATGCTTGCCTTGTGATACCCTATGGAGATTTGCCAAACCAGAGGCAACTCACCACCTCAGAGAAGTATTTTTATCCTTCCTATCTCTCCTCAGACTAGAAGTCTGTTAACTGGGATAAGTTAGTTTGGGAAGAGTTTGATGAAGATTCCAGTATAAACTGGGAATCTTGTCCTCCTAGAGCAGAGGTTCTCTGCCAAATTTGGTCCAATGCTCTACAAAATACTAAAGAGCAAGGATGGGCCACCCCAACTAGTATTTGCAGCTTCTTGAAACCATATATTCATTTTACTAAAGGAGTTACCCCTCCCCATTGTCAGCTGAACCAATGTAATCCAGTACAGGTTACCATCTCTTCTCCCCAGAAGTCTTCCCCTTCATTAAGCTGTTTCTCTGATACAGGAACAGAAATCTCACAGAAGGTCCCCATAAGATCCTTTGAAGTGTGCTTCATTGCCTCACCTCCTGCACCGCCTTCTCCCTCTCCTAAGTTCTCCGCTAACCAAACCTTCTCTCGTTATATACGCAGTGATAGGACCAAAGTAGACGTTGAGGAAGTAAATGATTTAAAACAAACTTTAGCAATAGAGACAGGATATCGAGATACAAATGCCTGGTTGGAATGGATCCAATATTCTGTTCGCACGCTAAACAAAGCAATTGTTACGCCGGTGCACACGGCAGGCCAGGGGCCCAGATTGTCCCCTTTCCACTAGGATGGTCCTCCAGTCGACCAGGCATGGGCTGTACAGTAGCTCTTTTCCAGGATCCCACCGCCTGGGGTAACAAGTCATGCCAAGCTCTCTCTCTGCTATATCCCAAAGTTCGACACCCTATCGGTCAGCCCACGAGGGCCATCCAACCTCCATCTCCCGACACTAAGTTCACTTCGTGTCTCTCATGACAAGAAGGGAACTTAGCATTCCTTAGAGACCTGAAAGGATGCACTAAGCTTAAGACTTTTCAGGAGCTTACCAATCAGTCAGCCCTTGTTCATCCCCGAGCAGATGTGTGGCAGTATTGTGATGGGCCTTTACTGGACATTCTGCCAAGTAACTGGAGCAGCACTTGTGCTCTAGTCCAACTGGCTATCCCTTTCATTGGCATTTCATCAACCAGAGAGAGGGAAAATACAACATTGTAAAACAATGGAAGCCCCTTAAGGGTCTTTTGACCCTCATGTTTATTTAGATATAGATGCAACTAGAGTCCCATGAGGAACACTGGATAAACTTAAAGCCCAAGATCAAATATCTGCAGGATTTGAGTCAATATTTTGGTGGGTGACAGTTAATAAGAATGTAGATTGGATAAATTACACTTATTACAACCAACAGTGGTTTATTAACTACACTAGAGATGCTGTTAAAGGAATAGCTGAGCTATTAGGGGCTACTAGCCAGATGGCTTGGGAAAATAGAATAGCCTTAGACATGATATTAGCAGAAAGAGGAGGAGTTTGTATCATGATTAAAACTCAGTATTGTACCTTCATCCCAAACAATACCACCCCGATGGAAGTATAACCAAGGCATTGCAAAGTCTAACCGTTCTGTCCAATGAATTAGCCAAAAACTCAGGAGTAAATAACACTTTCTCAGGGTGGCTAGAAAGGTGGTTCAGTAAATGGAAAGAAATCATAGCCTCAATTCTTTCTTCTCTTGCAGCTATAATAGGTGTACTCATTCTTGTTGGGTGTTGTGTCATACCATGCATCTGTGGGCTGGTTCAGAGACTCATAGAGACAGCACGTACTAAAACCTCCCTTAACTCTCCTCCACCTTATTCAGAGAAGCTTCTTCTTTTAGAGAATCAAGCAGAACAACTAAGCCAAGACATGTTAGGGAAGTTTGAAGAGAAAGAACTGTAAAATTCAAGAGGATGGAGTTGTTGAATATAGTGAATTCTAAATTTCTCTTCAAAGAATCATTATGTCAGTATGTTCAGTTCTTTATTCTCCATTTTAAAGTTTAACTTCCTCGTTCTCCTCACCCCTAGTTTCAATAAACAACCTCTTCCACCAGTTCTAATCAGTAGTTCACATCTGTTCCCCTGGTCACCTGCTCCATCCTGAGTCACCCCTGGTCACCTGCTCCGTCCTGAGTCATCCTGAGTCACCTGTTCTGTAACCGCCCTTCCTGCCAAACTACTCACCCCACCACTCCAGTTCATACCCCTGCTCTCTTTAAAACAGCCAATCAGAGTTAGCTTAGACTGTGTGGTCCAACCCTAGCCAATAGGGGACATGACAGTAGGGGCTACCTACATCATGAATAAAAAACCCTTCCCCTCCCTTGTTCAGGTGTGCTCTTGCCATTGCTCCATCGTGAGTCACACCCTTCTTTAGAAGTGAAATTGCCTTGCTGAGAAAATTAAATGTATGTTCCAGTGCTATTTCTTTTGTGGCACCAAAAAATTATTTATAACTTTCTATAGCCTCGATGGCTCCCTCCCTGAGATGATGGGGACTCCCAGAACACAGGAAGAGCAACCTTGCTCTGAGGAGTTGAGGAGGGCAGTAGCTTCCCAACCTATCCTGGAAAGCAGCATATCTCATTCACTGGTGTGTGCTAGAATATGGACTTCACAAATACACCCTTGGGTCTGAAAGTCAGTTCCAACACTTAACTGATTTGGGCCACATGTTTTATGTCTCTGAGCCTTCTTTTTCTCTATGTGCAAAATGTAGACAGTACTGGCCACCTACATTTTGTAACAGTTTCCTTTCCTTCTCTGCCCTTCTCTTTTCTCCTTTCTTTCCTCCTTCCTTCTCCCTCTTTTTCTCCATTTCTTTTTTCATAATTAATTGGTTCTTCTTCTATTAAGAGGTGAGACTAGGCCAGGTGTGGTGGCTCATGCCTGTAATCCCAGCACTTTGGGAAGCTGGGGCAGGCGGATCACCTAAGGTCAGAAGTTTGAGACCTGCCTGGCCAACATGGCAAAACCCCCTCTCTACTGGGGAAAAAAAAAAAAAAAACCTCAACAAATTAGCCAGATGTGGTGATGCACAACTGTAATCCCAGATACTCGGGAGGCTGAGGCAGGAGAAGTGCTTGAACCTGGGAGGCAGAGGTTGCATGAGCTGAGATCATGCCACTGCACTTCAGCCTGGGTGACAAGAGCAAAACTCTGTGTCAAAAAATAAAAATTAAAAAAAGTAAGACTAAGAATCCTGATAGATACATACAGTGCCATTGTAAGGAATAAATCAGTGTGGTAAATTCTTAGTTTTATGGTTCTGTTTGCTTTTTTTAGTTCAATAGTTTTTGGGGTATAGGTAGTTTTTGGTTACATGGATGAATTCTTTACTGGTGAATTCTGAGATTTTATTATACCTGTCATCCGAGCAGTATATACTATACCCAGTATGTAGTCTTTTCTCTCTCACCCAACTCCCAATCTCAGCCCACCCCAAGTCCCCAAAGTTCATGATATCACTCCATATGTTTTTGCATCCTCATAACTTAGCTTCCACTTAAAAGTAAGAACAGTGCTTGCTTCGGTAGCACATATACTAAAATTGGAATGATATAGAGAAGATTAGCATGGCACCTGTGCAAGAATGATACTCAAATTCGTGAAGCATTCCATTTTTTTTTGGCTGGGTATGGTGGCTCATGCCTGAAATCCCAGCACTTTGGGAGGCCAAGGTGGGTGGATTGCTTGAGGTCAGGAGTTCAAGACCAGCTTAAACAACATGGTGAAACCCTGTCTCTACTAAAAATATAAAAATCAGCCTAGCGTGATAGCGCACACCTGTAATCCCAGTTACTTGGCAGACTGAGGCAGGAGAATTGCTTGAAGCCAGGAGGCAGAGGTTGCAGTGAGATTGTCCCACTGCACTCCAGCCCAAGTGACAGAGTGAGACTCTATTTCAAAAAAAAACAAAAAACAAAAAACAAAAAAACAGTAGGAATGTACAGTATTTAGTTTTCCATTCCTACTACTTCACTTAGAGTAATGGCCTCCAGATCCAACCAAGTTGCTGCAAAAGACATTGTATTTTTCCTTTTTATGACTGAGTATTCCATGGTGTATATATACCACATTTTATTTATTTATTCCTTGGTCAATGGGCATGTAGGTCGGTTTCATATCTTTGCAATTGCAAATTGTGCTGCTATAAACATGTATGCACGTGTCTTTTTCAAATGACTTTTTTTCCTTTGTGTAGATATCTAGTAGTGGGATTGCTGGATCAAATGGTAGGTCTACTTTCAGTTCTTTGAGGCATACTATTTTACAAAGTATTTGTTCTAATTTATATTGCCATCAGCAGTGTAAACATGTTCCCTTTTCACCACATCCATGCCAATATATATTGTTTCTTGACTCTAATTATGGCCATTCTTGCAGGAGTAAGGTGGAATTTCATTGTGGTTTTAATTTGCATTCGTATGGTTCCATTTTGAATACAAGTTACACTTTCCTGTACCAGAAGCAGGGCTTAATTCCAATTTGCAGTTCTCCACCTCCTCCCAGTTCCTCGGTGTCATCCATGCAGATGTCTGCCCTATCCCATTGACCACCTCCCCATGGGATAGCTAGATACAACCTTCCTGACTCGCTCCAGTAAACCTCACAGCCTGCATGTGCTGTGCAGGTATGCCGCAGTGACCATCTTTCAGTCACAGCCCAACCCATGCCTGCTTGCTTTAAACCAGGGCTGTTCAACCTTTTGCCTTCTCTGGGCCACATGAGAAGAGGAGTCATCTTGGGCCACACATAAAATACACTAATGCTAATGAAAGCTGATACGCTAAAAAAAACACAAAAATGAAAAAAAAAATCTCATAGTGTCTTAAGAAAGTTTACGAATTTGTGTTGGGTCACATTCAAAGCCATCCTAGGCCACATGCAACCCGTGGACCGTGAGTTGGACAAGCTTGTTTTAAAGCCACCAGTGGGAACTCCCCACAGGAAATCTGCTGGGGTGATGCCCTGGACCTGAGTAAAGGCTTTAGTCCTGCAGATCCTTCTCTCTCTTGCTCCCCATCCACTGGATGAGCTCCCTGCTGCCTCTGAACATCCCATCAACCCTGTGATCACCACTCTACTCCTTGGATCTGTGAGTAAGAAAGCACTGCTGTGATTTCCTGTGTTTTGTTGCACTGCTGCCTCTGTGTCACCTGACCCACACACTTGAGCCTGACTCTCCTCCTGGTTAGGGCTCTCCTCCCAGAGAGTGGCTGTGTTGGTAAGAACAAACTGGACAGAGGTCAGACACGAGCAAAAGGGTGCCTGCCAGTACAAATAAGTCTCCTGGGAGAGGGACACTTGGTAACCAGTTGGACACAGGCTTTAGGTTGTCTACCAGAGAAAGAAGAATCCCATGAAAGGCACTGTCCAAACGCCCACTTCCCCTGGAGCCCCATCAGGACAGGGCTAGAGTTTATACATCCTCGCCCGAGAGAGACTTCAAGACCAAGTCAGAGCAAAATCCCAACAATGAGATAACGTGAAATACTCAGGACAAGGCAAAAAGGCTAGGGGAGGGAGAGAATGAAAAAGACCTTGTTTCCTAACTGCTAATTTACTGAGACAAGAAGGTCAACAGGAGACAGCAAGTCACTCAGAAGTAGTCATGGAAATAAATATATATATCACTTATTTTTATATTTATTTTTATGTATAATAAAAATAAATAAAATATATAACTATCATTTATTTTATATAGCACTTTATTATATATCCTATTTTATTTTATTTATTTATTTTTTTTTGAGACGGAGTCTGGCTCTGTTGCCCAGGCTGGAGTGCAGTGGCCCGATCTCAGCTCACTGCAAGCCCCGCCTCCCGGGTTCACACCATTCTCCTGCCTCAGCCTCCCGAGTAGCTGGGAGTACAGGCGCCCGCCACCTCGCCCGGCTAATTTTTTTTTTTTTGTATTTTAGTAGAGACGGGGTTTCACCGTGTTAGCCAGGATGGTCTCGATCTCCTGACCTCGTGATCCGCCCGTCTTGGCCTCCTCAAGTGCTGGGATTACAGGCTTGAGCCACCGCGCCCGACCATTTATTTTATATATAATAAAAATAAAGATATAATTATATTACATAATATATATCTTTTATTGTATTTATAAAAAAGATATATAACAATATATAATTACATAAACGCTATATATCATTAAATTATATATTATATATATTAATGATATATATTATAAATATATATATTGGGTTTTTATATAATATGTATTATAGATAATACATATATATGTTGGGTCTATTTTTTTTTTTTTT